ATACATATATACATATTTATATAAGTATACATATATATACATGTATATATAGGTGTATGTGTGTTTATTTATATATATTATACTTATATCTATCTGTCTGTCTATATAGAATGATAGATAGATATAGTTCTTAAACAGACAGGCAAACAGACACACACACACACACACACACACACACACACACACACACATACACACACACACATATATACGTACATATTTGAATATACATACATACTCTCTCTCTCTCTCTATCTCTCTCTCTCTTCCCTCCATTCCCTTTCTCTCCCCCCTCCCCCGCCCCTCCCCCCTCCCTCCCCCTACTTCCCCCCTCCCTCCTCCCCTTCCCTCCCCCCCTTCCTCCCCCCTCCCTCCTCCCCCTTCCTCCACATCGCCTCAGGCCAAGATATAAACCCTGATAAGATAGAGGCGCCGGAAAGAGATCCACCCATGGAATGACACCACAGAGCCAGGGCGAGGCGGAGGGGGGAGGGGGGGAGGGGGAGATGGGGGCGAGGGAAAAAGGGGGGGAAGGAGAGGAGAAGGGGAAGGGGAAAGGGGAAAGGGGAAAGGAGGGGTTAGGGGGAGAAGGGTGATGGAGGCGAGGGAGAAGGGAGGGGAAAAGGGAGGGAGGGGGAGGGAGGGGGGCGAGGGAGAAGGGAGGAGAAAAGGGAAGGAGGGGTTAGGGGGAAGGGTGATGGAGGCGAGGGAGAAGGGAGAAGAAAAGGGAAGGAGGAGGGAGGGAAGGAAGAGGGAGGGGGGCGAGGGAGAAGGGAGGAAAAAAGGGAAAGAGGAGGGAGGGAAAAGGGGAAAGGGGAAGGGAGAAGGGAGGAGAAAAGGGAAAGAGGAGGGAGGGAAGGAGGGGAAGGGAAAAGGGAGGAGAAAAGGGAAAGAGGAGGGAAGGAGGGGAAGGGAGAAGGGAGGAGAAAAGGGAAAGAGAAGGGAGGGGGGCGAGGGAGAAGGGAGGAGAAAAGGGAAGGAGGAGGGAGGGGGGGGAGGGAGGGTGCCGATCCCTGACAGCTTGAGGAAGACAAACAATGGGCGGGACTTTCGGCTGAGACGGAGAGAGGGAGGAAGGGAGAGACGGAGAGAGAGAGAGAGGAGAAATATTGCTTTTATCTATGCACACTCGCTTGCAGGTTCACTCATAGATCTTTGTAAATCTCTTTCTATCTGTCTGTCTATCGATCTATCTATCAATCTATCAATCTACCCATCTATTTATCTATCCATCTATCTGTGTATCCACCTATCTATCTGTCTATCTATCTATCTAGCCATATAAATACACACACACACACACACATAGATAGATAGATAGATAGATAGATAGATAGATAGATAGATAGATAGATAGATAGATAGATAGATAGATAGATAGATAGATAGAATCATTATTACCATTACGATAGTGGTGGCAGTAGAATCACTACTATTCATTACTTCTCCTCTCGCAATTTTATCATCTATATCCGCATAATCATTATCTTTTTCATCATTACAATCATCTTGTATCAGCAGGAGTATATATCAGTATACATCAGTATATTCATAAGTAATTCTGGTAGTAGTAGTAATAGCAGAACGCCTTTGTAATTTGCAAATTATTATCACATCATTACTCTTATCCCCATTACCTATTAATTATTATTATTCCTCATTTTTTCTATTTATCTTCATAGGACTATACAATGAAACAACATAAAACCTTAATTAACTTTTTACACATAAACCCGATCGTTTGACAGACGGACTCCCTTGTTATAACACCCCCGCTGCATTATACGAGCCGGGTGCTATGTTACGTCTATGCCTAGCGGAAAAAAAGCGCTTATCTGCTCGTTATTTCCCTGATCGTTATCCCCAGCCAATCAGCACGCTCGGAGCTAATGACGTCGATGAACGGTGCGGAACAGCCAATCAGAGGGGTTGGATGAGCTTGGATCACCGTCGATGTTGTTGATTACCTTCGTTATCGTTTTAGTGTTATCAATGTGAATTTAGTGTGTGGCTTATTTGTTGTTAAAATTGTTATTGTGGTTTTGTTGTTTGTGATATTTTGGCGCGAATGGTGTTGGAGTTTTTGTGTTTTGCCAAGTTACTATAGGAACTTTCTTTTTTAGACTTTTGTCTCGCTCTCTCGCTCTCTCGCTCTCTCTCTCTATCTATTTACCTATATAAGTATGCATATATATATATATATATATATATATATATATATATATATATATATATATATATATATGTATATATGTATATATGTATATGTATATATGTATATGTATATATGTATATATGTATATGTATATGTATATATGTATACGTATATATGTATATGTATATATGTATATATATATATATATATATATATATATATATATATATATATATATATATTCTCTCTCTTTTTCTCTCCATCTCCCTCCTTCCCTGCCCTATCTTCCTCACACCTGTCCCTCTGTATTCGAATCCTTCCTTTCCTCCTACATCCTTATTCCCT